CCCCCAGATTCTCTCTGGCAGTCTACCCTAACCATGTGGCAGTATCAAAAAAAGCACCTGTGTGGGTATAGGAGAGAAATTTGGGCAGGTAATGTAAAAGCATTGCCAAGGCAAGCATTTTCCAAAGCTGCACCATCCCCGGGCACCTGGCTGGTGTCACACCATGGTGGGATTCACAGACCCCTCTGCCCTGGGCACAGTGCAGGGCTTGTGCTGTGAGCACATCCCCAGTACAACCAGAACTGTGCTTTGCATGGGCCACAGCAGAGAAACCACAGGGCCGTGGCGAGGAGTGGCCACAGCTACCTTCCCTCGTTCTCTGGATGGATGGCTGCAGACACCAGGGGCTCAGGGGCTGAGCTCACAGCCACATCAGCCTTCCTCAGGGACTGTGCCCCAGTGCTATGGACGGGCAGGGCAAGGCAGGAATCTGYAGGACACTTGCCCATTCTGGTCTCCATCTGTAAAAGGAGGGTATTAACCATGGAACACCCTCTGCAGAGTGCAGGGTTTGAGCACGTGAAGGGCTGTGAGATTWGAGTGGAAAAAGCTGCAAAACAGCTGAAAACAAAACACAGCATTTTCAGAGCWGGGCTTGGAGAGTGGGACTTGAATGAGGCCCATGGTCACAGACCAAACCATAATAAGCCAAGCCACTGCTTGTCTGCTCATTAAGGGGGCATTGTGCCTCCTTCACACTGTAGGAGGCAGGGGGCCAGTGGAAAATGACCGAGGGATTATGGAATTAAAGCCCATATTGTGGTGTGTCCGCATGGGGAGCAGAACGGAAGGTTGCACAGACAACCTTAGCTCTGGTATTTCCCAACAAAGAGCCTGTCAGTCTGTCCGTCCGCGGGTCAGGGAAGCGGCTGAACACAGCGCTCCTTTGGGTTCAAGGGGAGGCTGAATGCAAATGATGCAGCTCATGACATTTCAGCTGAGAACTGCATGGTGGGTGAGCTCACTTGTTTTCCTTCATACATTTAAATAGGTTATTTATTTTGCAAATGCCAGCTCACTTCTCTACCTGCAGTCTTGCAGGCAGCCGGTTCCACATGGGTGCAATTGCCACAGGACCGCACTGCCACACTGGAGAAACCACAGATTTTTATCTCTGTCAGACTTGTATAACTTTGAAAGCAGACAAATTACTCAAAACATTTTTTTGGGGGGGTGGATGGATAGGGGACAAAATGTTCCTAGGCATTTGGTTTTGTTTTCCCATGATTTTACATTATGGCAACAGTAGGACATCTTTTTTCCCATGGTAATGTTTCCAGTCGTCCTCCAGGTTTGTTTGTTTTTCTCTGGTGATGCTAGCTGCTGCTCTGGCTGCTCAGCAGGCACTCTGCATGCTCCCTGCTCTATTTGCAAAACTGATCTGAAAAGTAGCTGCTAACCTATGTTCCAGTAGGAGGAAATGAGTTACCACAATAACAGCTTAAACACTCAATGAAATGACCAGAAAAGAAACCACAGGCTAGTGGGGCTGCATGCACAGACCAGAGGTTTTTTTTGTTACTCTTAGTGCCCTGCACCGCTCAGAAACCCAGAGGGAGGAAGATTCCTGTCTCTACCCACTTTTGTGACTGCCTTCCAGGCAAGGTGTCCCTCTCTGCCCAGAGTCTCCATTTTATGCCACAGGTAGCCTAAAATGAATGGCCTAACAGCTCTGTTTCAGAGTATCTGAGCAAATTACAAGCACCCTGCTAACACCAAATGCAAGTTTTGTGACCATTAGACAGCTCAGGGGATATTTACCATCAGTGATAAGCAGYGCTACTACTGATAAGAAATGCACTACCACCTTCCAGTTGCCTTGATCCAAAGTGCCAGTGAAAGGATTAGTGGACAAATCTATAAATTCAGAGCTCTAATTCACCCGGGAGCACAGCTGGAGTCTGCCGCTGGGAATAAATCCTGGAGGGCAAAGATCTACAGCGCCTGGAGGTAAAGTATGGCAGTGAGTTTCAAGCACTCACAAAGGCTGGTTCCTCTTATCTTCAACAAATCCTCTTATCCTCCATGAACTAACTAGGTTATCACAGAAAAGTAAAAAAATGTGGATTTTTGAACAGTTTAGCTCCCTTGAAAAAGCGCTGCAGCATTGTACCACTTGTACTTGGAGAAAAAAACGGGGCCATGCTCATGCACAACCAAGCATATAAAACAGCTGAAAAAATTGTGTTTTACCTAATGAAGGTCAACACATACCGTATGAAGGCTCATTTCTTCTTTTTAGGGTAATGGCTTGTTGCAAGTGTGCATTATTTCCTRAAGTAGGGATCTGAGCTCTGTTCACCTTGATCGCTTTTGAAATACCAGGGTTAACGGGGATTTCAGGCTCTGTGCTGCCCCGTGGGCATCATTTAAAGCTCCCCATGGAGAAGAGTCAATTGAGAGTGAGTAGCTGGAGGAAGCAATTTAGCTGTATTACTTCCAGCATGAGCTCAGCATGTGGAAGTGGAAGCCAGGAAAGGCAGAAACAGTAAAYACTGTGCAGGTCAGGTACAGGGGATCGCTCCAGCTCTGTGGGAGCAGATCTGCAGTGTAAGCTGGGAGAAGGAAGAGGAGAGCTGGCTGCAGTTTTAGGCACAGGGACAGAGCTCAGAACCACCCCAGCCTCCTGAACCACAGGGCTGCTCTCACAGTTTGAGCCTGGGAAAAATATTCCTCTGCTCTGGCTCCCTGATACCAGGTTACCATTTCGACATCAGCTGYACAGCAAGAAAACCTCTACTGGCTTGTGCATCAGTATTTCCCCTCTCCAMTTGAGTACAATTCTCTATTCTCAGAAGACAAAACTATAGAAAAGGCTGTTTAGTTCACATTTTGATAGCACCTGTCTTTCCAGGTAACAACAGGTTCTTGGGTGTGTTTTTTTTAAATGTAACTCCCCTCTTACCATTTTCCCATACTCAGATTTTCAGTGGGATACTTTCCTCATTATCTTTTCTCTCAAAATGCATCCACAGCCTGTCCTCACCAGCAGGAGATGGCTTGGATGCAAAGTCCCTTTCAYTCCCTGTTATTCAGAGTGCAGGCTGTAATTGATGGCAGACAGGATGCCACACAGCCTAACAGCAAATTACCCTCCCAGCAGCTTGTGCCTGTCTCTTCCCATGCTCCCTGCCATGGGTGGGAGGGGGAAACATCCTGCCCCTCTCTGAGCCATCCCTGGGGAGCCCAGGACTGCTGTGGKCCTGGCCAGAGCAGCAGGGATACTGAAACAAGAGACAAGTCAATCACCACTCATCAGTGATGTACAGCTCCGAACAGCAGCACTTCCCTGTCAAATTACTTCCCTTCCTTCCTGCTCACGTTCACACCTCTCTGCGGTGGTCTGTGCAGCCAGCTCCAAATTGACCCTGGGACAAATGTGCCATTTGAGATTATTCACTCCCACTGTGGCAGATCGGGCACATCTTCAAGAATCTGCTTAAGCCATCAAAGTCACAAAGCTGATTTGTGCAGTTGGGGGCTTACAGCGTCTTTGGTCTCTTTTTACAGTAGAGGGCAACTATCCAGTTGAAGTTCCTCATACGATAAACACATCACTGAGACAGGAAACCTGCAGTGACTGCAGCCAAACTTCGCTCCTCTGCTTTCACACTGATTCTCCACAGCCTTGCAAATGAGAGTCTTTTCTCCCAATTCTGCTGATGTGCTTCCATGAAAGGACAGCCCACAGCAGGAGCAGGATATTAAATAATTTTATGTTTACCACTTCAATCAGAGAAAAGGTTTCAAAATCATATTAAAAAACTTATTTAGCTTTCCCACAGACAACTTCCAGTACAGCAACAGCTTGCCAGATGCAGAAATGTCCCCAGRCAAATGCACCCATCMAGAAAGCCCACCCAGTACATGCAGRAGGCATCAATCTCAGCTGTGTGCTCAGGAGAACCATGAGCACTTTGCCCCTGCTCTCCTAGGGTGAACTGTTCCCAGAAAGRGCCATGCAGGCACCCCAGGCATCTCCTTCCCACAGCCTCAGAGCCCAGGTCTGGGGCAACCTGGCACTTTAACTC